ATCCTGTTCTGTTTCCTGTAATGAACTTCTGTGTGCACATTTTAGATCCAGTAATTTATTTCACTCTGATTATGCAAACAAAATGGGAACACGGCCTTACATGCTGAAGGATAATCCACTAACCAATAGAGCTCCCCCTTTTCGTTCAACCTGAATAATAAGGGAGTTTCATTCCTCTTAAGAAAATGAAGATGAGCAATTACTTTCAGAATTCCATTCGATTTGCCTCAGAGCCACATCTGTAGCCTTCCTTTTATATATTCATACATGCATAACACATATATCCATGTCCTTTTAACCAGTGTTATCTATTCCCTTTCATTCCATAAACCTTTGTTATTTGCCTCTTTAAAGCAAACTAACATTAAAACAAACATTAAAACAGGCTACCTTAAAACCCAACTTACATTAAGATATTTTAGAATTGAGTTTACTAATTCTACTTATTAATCTTTTTATTGAAATGTATAGGAAGTTTCAGAGAGACATAAAGTGGAGAGACTCATGCGTAGTGTGGCGAGTACCAGGAACGTAGGCATCACTGATCCACTCAGCTTCAGCACTTTTTACCACGTTGTTATTCTTAATTCTCTGCCACGGTCCACTCACGAAAACAGAATTTTCCTGGAGTACTTTAAAGCAACTCCCAAATAGATGTGATTCACAAATATTGGACTATTTTAACATAATAGTATTATGAGACCAAACAAAATTAATAATAATCCTTTCATGTCATCTAATATTCCAACCATTTTTCATTCTCCAATATTGTTGCAAACATGTCCGTGCACAGTTCGTTCATAGTAGGGTTCAAAAAGGTCTCCCCATTGCATTTGGCTACTGTATTTCTTAAGTCACTTTTCATGTAACAGCAATTCTAAATCCCTTTTTATAACATGTATTTGTTTCTTATTTTATCTTTAGAGCATTTCTTCAATATTGACAGGTTACGCTTGCTTAATTCACATGTAACTCACAAGTTAGTTACGTTGACTCCTCCCTGGCTGTCATCCTGCCATCACTAGCCTACCCTGTGTTACTTAAATAAAAATTGCTGTCTCTTCTATAAACAAAATAAAATTATAAATGAAAAACATCAATATAACCAACAGAGTTCAGTGTGAAATTTTACTTTAAAATAATTATTTTAAGATTTGCTGCTTTCACTAAGAAGCTTTCATGGTGAATTATCCGTAGGGCAACATGATTTTTGGCCCTTCTTTCTAACAAAGACCTCAGTTCAAAGAACACTCTTTACTTGTAAATACAGATACACTTGTCTGGGGATATATATATATATATATATATATATGGCTTTCTGGTGTGCTATAAAACTAGGCTTAGTATAATCCATCTTCCCTACATAAAACTACGTGGCTTTCAGGGCCTTAGAAATGATTTTTAAGATTTTATAAAGACCAAATGGTTTCCTTTCCAAACATTTATATTTTCCTCACCCTAATAGCAGGAAGTTCATTTCAAGATTGCATTTCTGTGTTTGAATTGTTGTGTTTCCTCTAGGTCAGAATGCAAACAAGTTGAGATGCATGATAAATTTTCAATATATTGTACAAATGGTGCTGTGGCTACTTGTTTGGATAACATTGAATAAGTAATTTGTTCCAAGAGTACACTGTCTCAAATCTCAGATAAGGGGAGTGGAGTGTTGAGTGGGGTGCAAATTTTGCACCTTTGTTTTCTTTGCAACTAGCTGGAGTGCTTAGGATTTTATGTAGTGCATATGGGGGAAGGTACTTCAGGTTTAATGTGAGTTGTATAGATCTGCACAGAATAAATTAATTTGTTTCTGGAATTACATTAGTAGTAATGTTATTTATTTTTTGTTTCTTTTGGTGTCACTTAAAAGACCCTTAATGGAGAACCTGAGGCAATTTTTACTTAATTCCTAAAAAGAGGGGGTGGCACCTGTGGCTCAGTGAGTAGGGCGCCAGTCCCATATACCGAGGGTGGCGGGTTCCAACCCAGCCCCAGCCAAACTGAAACAAAATAAAATAGCCGGGCATTGTGGTGGATGCCTGTAGCCCCAGCTACTCATGAAGCTGAGGCAAGAGAATCACCTAAGCCCAAGAGCTGGAGGTTGCTGTGAGCAGTGATGCTATGGCACTCTACAAGGTCAACAAAGTGAGACTCTGTCTCAAAAAAAAAAAATTCTAAAAAGATTTATATTCGAGTCTCTTTCAGAGAGCTAAATTGGGTGAGTATGTAAAAGTAGTCTTGTTTCAAAGAATCCACATTTAGTTTTACTATTTTAATGTTATTTTAGTTATAAACAGTGTAACCCTCTACACAGCTTACAATTCTAATATGCTCAAATCTCTTATCTTCCAAATTAATTATACTTGAGGCTCCTGTTCTCCTGATTAGTAAACAGTCCAGTATCTTCCTCTTTCAGTCCTTTCTTATGAGCATCTTGGGGCAACTTTGCCCAAGAACTGTCAGCACTTACTAAGTATAAAGTGTTTAAGGGGTCAATGCCACTTCCAAATGGCAGGTGTAAAAAGAACTGTGAAATAACATCAGCATGATCATTGGTGTTCTGTATCACAGAGATTCCTTCTATACCATGCTACAAATGACGTTTTTCCAAGCTATATGGATGCTTTTTTAAAGTCTCTTCCCTCTACAAGTCCCTGTGATGCCCTCTTCCTTCCCACGTTTAGAGCTCTCTTAATTCTATGCTCAGTCATTGTTTCCAGAGCTTCAAGTGATGCCAGGGTGACTGGGTACTAAATAATTTTCTGTCTTAGCCACAGTGTCTGCCATAACTTACCTTGTGCTTTGAGTGCTCAAGCTAGTGTGTCTCAAACAGTGAACGTGCGTGAGAATCACCAGGGCAACTTAGAAAAATGGATATTCCTTGCATAACAGACCTCTCATTCTAGAACCCTGGATGGGTCTAGTAATCTTCAAGTTCAACAGCATTCCAGGTGATTCTGATGCTAGTAAAAATACATTACCTTTGAGACCAGTGGTTCTCATACCACCTGCATATTTGCATCATCAGAGAGCATAAAAAGGATACTCATACCCAGGACCCTAATCTCCACCAAGGAAATAAGAACATTTGGGTTTAGCAAGGTAATAGGTATGTTCCAAAAGCTCTCCAGATGACTGCGATCTGCAGCCAGACATGAAAACCTCTACCTTCCACTGTTAAGATAAACGCAGAACTCCAGACAACTCTTCCAAGCGGTAAAATTCTCTTTGGGGCATTTTTTTTCCTGTCATTTAATTCTTTGAGCCACAGGCACCGCCCCACTGTCATTTAATTCTCATCAAAGCCACCACTGTCCACCCTACTAGGTTTTCACATTTTTTAAATTCAGGGGCCTCTGCTTTTTTCATACAAAATGGCACTGCCAAAGTTGCATATATTAAATGAAAAACATCTATGCTAAGAAATAAGGGAGTACTTTCCATTTTTGTGCAATTAAGATAAATCATTTATTTTACTCTTCTCGACGCAACGTGTCAAGTTGTGTTCAACCACCCAGAGAAAGTCTTCTCTTTCTGAAATAGTTCCGTCTTTTACACACCCCAGTACACAGCCCTGTGTGTTAGGTTTTAGTACAGGGATGCAGAGGTTGTGCTATAATCTGAGTCCTCTGTGTCTCGCAGTAATCTAAGCTAAAAACTGTCAGACTCCTCCAGCTTAATTTTGTGATGATGGAATCCTGAGCAGAGCAGAGATTAGCAGCTGTTTCAGCCCAGACATTGCACCTGAAAAAGCCATGTAAGTCCATCCCAGTGAAGCTACTTAAGGTAATTCAATGAAGATTTAACTTTAGGACCAAGTTTAAATGTTTCATCCTCTTCCTCAAATGAGAAATAAATTATTTTTTAAACCAGTGGGGGAAAATGGCAGAAAGAGTAAAGCTTTAAACATACTTGCTCTTTTTTTGTTCAAGTCTGTTACTGTAAAACAATTACCTTAAGCATTTTTTTTTTTTTTGCAGTTTTTGGTGGGGGCTGGGTTTGAACCTACCACCTCCGTATATGAGGCCGGTGCCCTACTCCTTGAGCCACAGGCACTGCACAGCAAAATTTTTAATGTGTTCAATAAATATTTAAAACGATAAATAATTTTATTAATTTGGTAGAACAATGTCTTGAAGGAAATAAAATATAGGAATTAAAACTATTTGATTATATTTTTAGAACCTATGTGTAATTAAGGAAATGCTAATTATAATATGCTATATTAAGGTTATTAAATATTCTATTTTCATTTTTAAATTCATTGTTGTTATGCATGTGAAGAACTTGGAGACAGAGAGGGTAAAGGACTTACACACTGCCCCATACACTTACAATGCAATAATGATAATTTACTGGTTTCAAGACAATGTGAAAGCACCCCCCCCCGAACTAACTTAACCAATTTACTGCCACTAATATATAGAAATTCTAGATTTTACAATGATATAAACAATATCAGAAGTACCTGATGTCTCCCAGGGCCCTCTATAAATATCCTGTGTTCAGTATAAACTGTTTTCAGAACCTATGTATGGTTTTTTCCTTAAAATTTCATTTCTCAATATATCCAACATGTGACATGAATTGAAATCCTTACTACATGTAAAAAAATCAACCCTCCTAATTTCTAAGTGTACATGTGTATAATTTGCATTTTTCTTTGCCACAAACCACTGAAGTTTATATTATTAAAAAGGCCAGTTTAATACCTACTGTGATTGTTAGAAACATTCCTACAGATTTCTACTGTAAATAAGGATTAGAAGATGATCTCTCTGACTGCCTGAGCAAATGTTAGGTAAACTGTAGAGTGCTTAGACCTTTGAATTTGTCGTAAACAGCTTTATGCTTCTCTTTTAGCCATTACTTGTCGCAAGCAAGATGGAGGGCAGGCAGGCGTCCTGAGATGATCTCTCTGACTGCCTGAGCAAATGTTAGGTAAACTGTAGAGTGCTTAGACCTTTGAATTTGTCGTAAACAGCTTTATGCTTCTCTTTTAGCCATTACTTGTCGCAAGCAAGATGGAGGGCAGGCAGGCGTCCACGAGTGCCTCCAGTATGCAGGCCCCGTGCCAGCCCTCACCCAAGCCTGCCAGATCCCCTGCCAGGATGACTGTCAATTGACCAGCTGGTCCAAGTTTTCTTCATGCAATGGAGACTGTGGAGCAGTTAGGACCAGAAAGCGTACTATTGTTGGTAAGAATAATTGGAATGCCAAAGGCGATGCTTATCAAGGTAGAAAAACAAAATACAAGTCAGACCAAGAGAGTTCTGACAACGTATTTGAAAAATGCAGGGATATGCTTTATTGTTACTCTACTTTATACCTAATATGTCAGTGGATTCGGGTGTGGATTTTAACATCAGTTGGCAGTGGTAACAAGCATTATGCACCTTCAGTAGAAAGAAAATGCAGGCTTGAGGACTGAACTCTGCTGACTTATACAATTCGTGGTAGATTATTTTTTGGTTTAAACATGTTCTTTTAGTGGACTGCCTACAGTCTGTAAAGTTCTTGGAGCAAAGGTTTTGGGGGACAAAAGAAAAACTTGCCACTTTATTTACTTAAGCCTCTGCACTCTCAGAGCCTCCTATTATGCTTCATCTCCTGGAAGGAGGAACACAACGTTAATTCTGTGTCTGGAAACTGTGTTTTAAAAACAGTCAGCAACAAAGAGCAGGGACATGGGCAAGAGCAGGAGCCATCGTTCTGAGCCAGAGCCTGGTGCATCTGAAAATATTTTCAGTGAAAAAGAAACCGAAAAACATAGGTGCTAGTAGACTATTCAGAACTTAGTTATAAAATGAACCACTTTTATAATAAAGGCCATTGAAAACCTGATAATGTGGCTTATGAAAATTAAAAATGCATAATTAACTATATGTAATATTAAAGAGTGTATGACATGTAACATTATATATGGCACATAATACTATGTATAATAAATATAATACAAATAAGTATTATAATTAAATGTATATTTTTCAAGCACTTTTATAACTGTTACATAAAAGAAGGTTATGTTATAATTTTTTTAATTTCAGCTTGAGGCTCCGTCTAGAAAAAAAAGAAAGAAAAAAAAAGAAAAGTAGAAAAATTGGGAATGTTTGGAGTTAATCATGGTATTTTCCAATTTAAATTGGCTATTTCTCTTCCACAGGAAAAAGTAAAAAGAAGGAAAAATGTAAAAATTCCCATTTGTACCCCCTGATTGAGACTCAGTATTGTCCTTGTGACAAATACAATGCACAGCCTGTGGGGAACTGGTCAGACTGCATTTTACCGGAGGGGAAAGTGGAAGTGCTCCTGGGAATGAAAGTACAAGGAGACATCAAGGAATGTGGACAAGGATACCGTTACCAAGCAATGGCATGCTATGACCAAAACGGCAGGCTTGTGGAGACATCCAGATGTAACAGCCACGGTAATCCGATTTTTCTTCATTATTATATATTTGCTGTGTTTGGGAGAGGAGGTGGAACGCTCGTGTGTTGTAGTGGAGGAAACGTAAAGGCTTACAGAAGTGTGTTCTAATGTAAACCCTGTGGAGCACCAAGCTGTGCATGTATCACTTATATATAACAGGACATCCCACGGTGTTGTCTCCTCTTCCAGAAGTTGCCAATTAAGTTTCAAAATAGTGACAGGTATCCTTAGGGAGCAGCAAAAATGATGCCAGAAACCGCTCTTAGGACTTACCAAGATCCTGTTCATTCAGTAGATCAAACAATCCCCCAACAAGTCTGTGTACAGAAAGGGAGTGAGGAGGAGATAAGATCTTAATGCAGTTTGAGATTAAAGTTTTAAATTAGACTTTTAACAGCTGAACTGGTGAGCTTTGTAAGTTGCTCAAAATGTCATTAAGTGGCAGGAAAAAAATGTGGAAAGTAGAGTTCAGATAGGCAAAAAAACTCAAAAAATTACATACTCCTAGGAAACTGTACCCATTCACTTTCTAAATCAAAAAAGAAATTTACAGTGCATTGATAATAACTGAGCTGCCCAAAGTCATGAACAGTGGCCATCTTTGACCAGAGTATATACTGAACTCTTCAGTTCTTAATCGAAACATAGCGATCATTAAGCAATGTTTCTCAATTAATCTTTTATTTTACTGCATCTGTCTTTTTATAATGGAATGAGATCAGTTTACAGTGGGTCAGCCTGAAAGAAATCATAAAACACATTTGCAAACACTGGATGAAGATCTCCCAGATTCTTGATAGAGGCTGCCAAGGAAGGATGACTTCAGTTGCTAGGATCAAGGAACATGCAGCTACCCTTCAACCTTGCTGAAATGACTTCTTGTAACTGTGCTGCTCCAATTTTATTACATGGTTCAGAAAACAGCACAAACTAATAAACCCATCTTACATTTATAAACCATCAAAGTATCATGTTGCCACATTTTTGAACCCTCGTAAACATTCCCAACAAAGAAGTTTCTAAAACCCTTGTCTTTTTTCCCCCTTATCTCACATTTCCTATTTTATCAAAGTCCAGAGATATGTAAAGAAAGGATAAATGTTTGAGGTGATGGATAGTCCAGTTACCCTGATTTGATCATTACATATTGTACACTTGTATCAAAATATCTATCACATGCACCCCATAAGTATTAAAAAATGCCATCTTAATCATCATTAAGTACACTTGTTCAGTAGCGTGAAATACATTTCCATTGTTATGCAGTCGACCCCCAGATCCATTTCTTGACAAATAAACTTTATTGTTTATATTTAATGTATAAATGTTTCATTTAAAATAAAAAGTGGCTAGTTATATGAACCTCAAAGAATTCATAGTATTTAAGCTTTAGATATATTTCTCATGTTAATACAGGTGCATTGCTAAATTGATGATTCTCTCATTCACATATAATAATAACTATAAAAGAAAAAAGGGTTTACCATTTTTAGTAGTTGTGCTTTGAGAAACATCTCTAAAAGTAATTGAATTACTTTATTCCCTACATCAAATAACATAGATCTTATAAATTAGATACTAAGAAAAACATAAATATCATTTCCATTTTGAGGTGATAGTGTAGAAAATCATAATTCATTCTTAAGATATAAAATTGGAGATCACTTTCAAAATATGTGTACCTTGAAATTAAGCACCTAAGTGTCTGCTCACACTTCAACTTATTATGCAGAGTGAATCACTAAGATAATCATTTATTTTTAACATTACCTTTGAGCTTCCAGAATAACTTTCATATATTCTCACTTTTACCCTAGTCTGTTAATTGGATGCATAAGAGGCCACTGAACAGCCAATCTTAGTTTTAGAAATAACTTTTAAAATATTCTGTGCCTTTCACAAAAATATGAGTTACTTAAAAAAAGTAGAAGAACAAAAATAGCTGAAATCAGCCAAAGACAGTATACTTCTTACCTTAGCATTGTCGATGCAAAGCATGAAAAATACTGTATTGTATTCTAGGGAAAGACACATACAGAAACAAGATAAGTACATAGGACACGGGATCTAAAAAAGATCCTTAACTAAGTGAGCTCCTCCAGCTCTGTTCTTCAGGATGTCCTACATCGTTCTTATCTCCTTCAAGCTGATCTATGATGGGATGTCCAGTGGGCTATTTTAGTGTTCGCTAACATATTTACTCAAAGTCAAGTCTGGGGAAGTTAAATCTGTAGTGCCTGATTTCTTTGACATTTGCTACTTTCCTTAAATATGTTCTGTAAATTCTGATGGTATTTGGGGAACACGTGGCACACATATTATAACTTTGCTGCTCTATCATAGGCCTGCCCTAAATTGCAATCATTATCACAACTGCTTTCTCTCAGCCAAATCAGCTTTCTAGATGAATGAGTTTTAAGTGGCTTAGGAGAAAGTCTCTTCCTGCTTTCAATGGAGACATAAAATTGATCTTCTGTGTATGCAATGCAATGACTCTAATCTCCTATTCAATATTGGCCTTAGGGCCTTTCTCTTTAATCATTACTGTACATCTGTGAATAATGTTATCAGTTATTACACTGATAAATCAGTTTGACCTTCACCCACTTACGTGATTTTAAATTATTTCTCATGTGGTCGCTGTTTTGTAGGGTCTTAAACCTGGAGCACAATTATTTTATGTTTGAACTTCCTCACAATAATAGACTCTGTGCTGAAAAGTGACATGACTATATTCCTAAAATCAGATCTTAAAGTATACTTTGGGGGCCATATAAGTGTTCATCTACCCGTTACATGGCATTAAATATTGACTGCATGAATGTTCATATATAAACATATTTTGGGCATTTATGTGTCCTAAAAACTAGTACAAATTATATAGATTTACTTTTGGTATTAACTCTTGGATGGTGTCGCAATAGCCACAGATTTTACGTCATGCAAAATTCAAATCACATGTTTTCTATTCTCCACTGGAGTCCTCTAAGATCTCTATTGATTGGTTTACTAGAAATTTACTGAGTGCTTAACTACACAGTACTAAGTACATTTCAACTTAACCACACCCAAAATTTCATGAAACAAGGGGCAGGATTTCTGAAACTTTTTAAATTATATCATTAAACCCTGAACTTTTAAAGAATCTTAGAAGTAAGCTAGTTTATACGAGGTACATGTATACCAAATTTCCATTTAAAAGTAGAGATGGAACTTTATTGTGTCACTTTCCAGCCTGACCCAGCATTCCTGAATCCCTCACAGTCCTCTACTGTTTGTATTTCTCAAGTGTGTCTCACCCTACAAGATGCCACACAATTTACTTATTTTTACTTATATTATTTATGTTTATGGTTTTTGTTTTATCTCCATGCAAGAGTGAAGATTGATGGGAATATATTAGACCATTTTCTGCCCTGGTGAATCCTAAACACCTAGAATAGTAGTTGCTGGATAGAATTTGTAGAATGAATGAATGAATGAGTGAAAAGCTGGAGCAAGAAATTTTTTTCATATACGTTATGCCCTCCAGGGATTGCCATTGATCCACAGTCAGGCTAAAGCACTTTATTTTATCCAGTGTCCTTCCCTGCTTGTCACGTTCTGGGAAATAATCAAAGAGAGCTTGGGCTGTAACTAAGATCATTAGAGCAAATAAGAGCTGCATGTGCTTTAAACTTTCTATATGATATTGGTCAGATATTCACGTTTCTCTTTACCTGCTAAATGGGAGGAGAAATAATAGTCACACACCCATCCCACTGAATTAAATCAGTAATATCTATATTGAAAGGTCTCTTTTGTTGCCATTTACAGCTGCTAGACTTGCCCAATTTGTGTGACATTGAATTTAGACAACACCTTAACCTTTTGGTGACCATTTACATTTTTCTAAACTAAGTTTATAACTTTAACTGGGAGCTTAGGGTATATACTTAATTTCCTTTTTGGGAAAGTAAGGAATAAAATCTCTGTTTGATTTATCTGAAAGGGACATTCTGAAAGTGAATTGGATAAAGTGTAAAACTGCCAGACACTCCAGTCAAGCTCTGTGAGCTACGTAATTCCTTCTAGATGCTTCTCTTTCATCTTTGCCCTCAGGAAATTTGTTTTTGCTACTTCACATAGGCAGTTTAAGCCATAATACACTATCCACAAATATTCTAAAACTGAACTCAGGTATATCATGATGCTTTATCATCTGTTACTATCAAGCTAGCAAAAAGGCTTGTCTGCTGATCTGAGTTTCTTCCTGAGCCCACCTTGTTTAACACTCACAGTTCTCCTATTGCCTAGAAGGGAAATATTGCTGTCGATACATATCAAATACTTGTCAACATGGAGCCCCGAGGAAATTCATGAATGAGTTATTAGGTTAAATTACTTGTCACCAAATGTTTTCCTGAAGATCCAGATAACAAATATTTTAGGCTTTATAGGCCAAAAAGTCTCTGTTGCAACTACTCAACTCTGCAGTTGGAGCATGAAAACAGCTGTAGACTATATGCAAGCAAAAGAGCATGGTTGTGTTCTAGAAAAATCTTACTGACAAAAATAGGCTGCCACCAGCCTGAGCTGTTGTTAGCATCAGAAATCTAAACCCTTGCTACTCAAAATGTGTTATAGAACAGCAGTATGGAAATCAACAGGAAACTTTTGAAAAGCAGAAACTCCACCCTATTGCAGACCTACTGAGTCAGAATATGCGCTTCGACAAGAGTATTTAAAGTGCATTGTTGCTGTGAATCATGCAGATACTCGCAGGGTGCTGAGTCTTGATAGGAATCACAGGTTTGCACCTGAGAGGTGACTACCTATAGAGTTTCTCTCCTTAGAACCTCAAAATGACTCTGCCTTATGCAAAACAATCAACACCTCATGGTTTACTTGATCACCAGTGGTGGGAGAGAGAGTCTTTGGAAACTTTTAACATTTATAACAATGGTTCTTCATAAAATGAAAGTCTATTTAGGTGTAGTTTTAAAAGCAGAATGAGTC